ACTCTCCTTCTTTCTGTCTCTGAGGACTGGAAGATGCTGTATGTAAATTATTTAGCACTGTGCCTACTCTTAATGAATGATGCTTATTATTGTTGCTATCACCATTGGGAATTAGTCAAGATTATAACTATAATGCATGGTTACTCTCTTCATCTCTGTCTGCAGTATATGGAGGGACTACCAAAGTAATTCATACACTAGCAAGGTTTGTGATATGCATTAGAGTCAGGGGAAGGGGAGATGAGATGATTCACAGTGCTGGGTGAGGAGTCTTCACTAAGCATGGCATACAATGAGATGTCAGTGCCAGGCTTTGAACTGGGAGGTAACCTTAGCAGGCTAGTGTGCTGAGAAGACACATCCAACAAGTACTTTAGCAGAAAGCAGCTGAGGGCGTGGGCAGGGCAGTGTCTGAGTCATCAGATGCCACCCTGCTAGCTTCCAGGTGAGTGTGGGTTCTTCTACCAACAGCATTCCTGGGCAACTCTTTGATCTAAGCGGGCTTCTGACCTGTGCGGTTTGCAGGGCAACAGGGCCCTCTACCGGCTGCTCAGTAATTAAACTGATTTAAATTTAAACTCATTTAAATGAGCAAAGACCTTTACAGAATTCCAAACAACCAAGTTGGCAGGCTAAAAGGCTTCTGGGAACCTTGAATTGGCAGCCTGGGCACCAGAAGCCAACTGATGCTGAGGACACACTCCTAACCACAACTATGCAAGAAGACACAACCGGTATTTGGTGCATTCTCTTCATGGGAAAATACCTTGGTTTCTAAATGTGGGCTTGATTTAAAATAAATACACATGGAAGCCAAAGGAAATAATGTCTGATGTCGGGGGTGGGGTGGGGGAATCTTCCTGGTAGCCTTCACGTTTTCTTCATGTTTCTTATAGAAAAGAAGAGAACAGGAAAGTAGTCTTTACAGTCTAACTTCTCCATTTACCAGAACATCATATCCAAAGGGCCCCTCAAGTTAAACAGGCACAGGACTGCATTAGAAACCATGTAACTAGAGTGACAGCCAAATTACACAGATATTTTTTATATTTCTAATTTTTATCTTTGATCCATCAAAATTTACTATTTTCCTCTAAGAGGCAATTTGGGGTAGGGATAGGGCTGAGGGTAATGGAGAGGAAGGGGGTTTCTACTAAACTCTATTGACAACTTGGATGCCACACTTCTTGTCTGTCACCAACCCCAGTCAAATACACTCAGTGGAGTTCACAGTGCCGGACAACACTAGTCCACAGGTGATGTGGAGTATTCTCAAGGGACCTCTCTATCCCTTGAGTCCTGAGGATAAACCAGACTTTATTCACGTGTCCGGCCTCCATAATCTGTGGACTCACCTGTCAGCAGGCTCTTCACTTTTTTTCTGGCCCCACCCTGAGGATGCTATGCATATCTTAATCTGAAGATAACAGTAAGGAATTTGTGTGGTGGATCCGTGACAAAGGCTATTATATAGATATTATAAAGAACAGAACTTTTTTCATTTGCAGATCACCTAGCTACCTCTGTTGGTTCACCAAGAAGTTCACCTGCAAGATAATTTTTCCAAACACTGTTGGGAAACACCATTAAGGCTATGGCATGGACAAAAGAGCTGAAAGCTCTGTGTCCTTGAACAAGTCTGCACAATTAATCATATGTCTGCCAGACATATTAAAACAATGCTTTCAAAACCTTATTAGTGCTCATAAATGGCAGTGCTAGAACACTAGTATGCCCCCTTGATTTGTTAAAGAACTGTATATTGATCCAATATCTTTGTGCAATTTTAAAGGTTTAGAGATGTCATTCTTTCCAGAAAGAACTATGGCTTATTTTTTTTTTTTTTGTCTTTTAAGACAGTCTAGATAGGTAACCCAAACTAGTCTTCAAGATTTGAGAGCCTCCCTCAGCCTCCTAAATGCTGGGACTACAGTCATACACCACGAAGCCTGACTTCTCATTAGCATCCCCTTGAGAATCAGAAACACTGTTGGCTGTAGCTGCTTGCCTTTGATCTTAACTGGATTTCAATCGAGATACCTGTGCTGTGTGTATTTTATGTCTGTGTCTGAGGCATAAAAATGAGGAAGGCTATGAGGTATTTAGATAAGACGTGACAGAGCCAGGCTATCCTCCTTATCATGTAATCACATTCCTATCCCTGACAAGACATTTCTTTGGAAGTGGCAGGTATTGCCGACAATCTTTCCCATTTAGATTATGCAGAGAAGTGAAATCAAAATCAAAGGACAGCACACTTTTTTTTGTTTTGTTTTGTTTTGATTTTTCAAGACAGGGTTTCTCTGTGTAGCTTTGCACCTTTCCTGGATCTTGCTCTGTAGACCAGGCTGGCCTCAAACTCACAGAGATCCTCCTGGCTCTGCCTCCCAAGTGCTGGGATTAAAGGCGTGCGCCACCACCGCCTGATCAGCACACATTTTTAAAACATGGGTCTTCTCCAGGTTGGAATTCTTAGGTCACTAGATGCTCAGAGTTTCCCACCATCATCGATTGATTTGAATAATTAACAGACATATCATCCAGTACTTAAAAGGTACGCTCTTAGATGCAGTACTGGATAGATCTGGGCCAAAGGTTTGGACAGAAATGTGGGCTCACCCAGTGAGCAGTGCCAGACTCTGACAAATTCAATTTCAACACTTCCACTGCATCTTGGCAGGTGCTCATGCCTGATGTCATCAGCCAATGATGTAAGCCAGAAAGAGTGGTATTTTGCAATAGAGATTCTGGTAACCCTTCCCATGAGTGTGGGTTGAAAGCTATCAATATTTATATCACACGCAGAAAGCATGTAACATTTTGTAAGGTATAGAAGTTAGATGGCTTACTCGGAGTCTTCTGCACACATGAATTATCTTTGTCTTCCACATCAATAGCTTAAATTGCTGATGTTTGTCTTTTATTTTCTTAAGACATTTTTTTCAATTAAATATAATGAAGGGAAATCTTATTGACGTCACCAAAATGAACATGTCAAAATTAAAGGATTAGATCTGCATGGTCACAGGAAATACTAAAAGATGGATTAATTTATGATTTCGTCCTATGAACAAATGATTACATAAAATGCTAACTTGGGTTACAGTGAAAAGTTGTTGTAAATCCTTTTTTGTAAAATGATTAGCTTGGTATGGCTGGTATCACAGCGTTTGTCCATCCCTGCCTAGTCTAAAGTACTACATACTGAGGTACTCACAAATGTAGATGACCCAAGAATGTAGTCTCAAAGGACTGAAGGGTGGACACAGGAAGACGAAACAGGGGAATGGAAGAAGTTGAACTTCTTGGACTATTTGGTTTTGTCACAGACACCAGAAACATGTCATCATATAATCCACCTACAGAGTTGAAAATGTAGTTCTGAGGCAAAGGCTTTATTGACATTGACTTTTTCTTCTCAGAATCTTATTGTATATGTATTTCAGTTTTTATCATGTGCACAGATGTTACCAGATGTTCCTCCGGCTCTGTAGGCATGCCAGAGATTCTTTTCTGCACAAGTAACCCCAGTAGTTACAAGATCACAAGATCATTTTATACACTAGCCCATAAACAGATAGTTTTAATAAACTTGGCTCTAAGTTTCCATGTTGTTTGGCTGGATATGTTTTACATTGTTAATAAATAGTATGCAGTGAGTGAGGAATATTAGATATGTATTACTGCTTATTTTGGTTAACATTTTGATTTGGCTATCTGGAAGTCATAAGTGATACTCTAATTTCAGGTTACTGTGTTTGAAATTGGTAAGCACTTATAGACTGTAAGTGTGCATGACCATTAATGGTGTCACTTCTCCAGACGTAGCAGAAATCCCTCTTTTCTTTCCTCAAGAGGTAGTTCTTAGTCAATTGAAAGTAGGCTTCCACTGTTTCTTCCTGGACTCTCCTTGGCTTTTTCTACATTTTTTTTTGAAATGCTCAGGAAGAGGTAGCTTTCTAGGTGTGGTTGCTGGAGTCACTGGGTGGAACTGTCACTCCCCACCCCTTGGCATGATGTAACTTTGCACTTGCAGAAAGTGCTGACATGCAACGCAGCTGCAGTACATTCTTCTGGAGGAAAAAAAAAAAGCCAAGGAAACACCTTCTCTCAAAGGAAAGCAGAATGTAGTGTACCTAAAGTGTGGATTAAAAGCTATAACAATATATGCATGGAACTTTGCTATTGTAAGAATTCAAGTATGACTTTTAATTAATCTCAAGTTCTGCTTATGCGAAACAGAAATAAGGCCATAGTTCTAGATTAAATCCAGAAAGAGAAAACAGTAGTTGTTATTAGTCTGTAATTTCATTTTGTATTTTTTCTAAAAATAAATTATTATCTTACAAAGTGAACATTAAAATATATACTTAGGATAATATTTGGGGTATTTTGGGGTTAGAGATGGGATTGATAATGAAAGTGTTGAAGATAATCTGACTTACAGCACAAATATAGGAGTTTGGTTTTTATCTTCTCCTACAGTTCAATTTTAGAGCTACAAGGGTCTTGTAGAAAATGCACCCAAAGCCCAAAGAAAGTAAAAGACTTGCCCAAGACTTGACCTTACGGCAGAAACACAGTTCAAAAGAAGGATCCTGATTACCAACTAAGTATTTCTACCATTGTTTCATTTTTACCTATGTGCAAATATGTTATCAATCAATCAAAAGTGGTAACATTCCATGTCCTATAGCTAGTTTTCAGCTTCCATTTAGGGATCAATTCGAGGCTTTTGGTTGTTATATGAATTCTAGGACTTCAGTTCAAGTGAAGGACATCAGGTGAGCCTTTCAATGGAAGGATAAGATGATAAGCATCAGGGGACAGATTAGCTCAGCACAAGGTTTTATAATCCATCCAGAAATGACAGTTTTGCCAACTCAGGACTTGCTGTCCAGGTGACTTTCAGTCTTCAAGAATTCATTTGCTTATTCCAAACTCCACAAATAAAGTTTCCACACTGTTGTCACAGCTGGGTGTGATTGATGCTTGCCCTGGATACTCCATTTTCTTCCAGTGGTTCAGGTTAAATGCATTTTTGGTTCACTCAAAGACCCATTCATTGGTTTCATTTGAAAGTTGATACCAAATTCCCTGAAATACCATCAGGACAGATGGTTTGGGATCAGGTCCATTGAAACAGGTGGCCCCAAATGTTGAGTACATGAAGAACTCAGGCACGGCATTCATTACTTTGACTTGATGTGGGGTAAACAGTTAAAATGAAAACTCACATCTGAGATGATCAGAAGCATGGAACAAGTCCTCCTGCAGTGACAATGACCACGCAATAACAAGCCCAAGGGAGGGTTGTGACCTTGGCTTCTGTGTAGCTTGTTCACATAGCTCTCATGGCACCCAAAGATGGTAAAACCTAAGAACCAACGTTGAATTTTATCCTCTTATTGCACTGTCACCCAAACCTCCATTATTTTCAAGTTAGCTTGTTACATTCCGTATCATCTGAAGACCTCCATTGGAGTCTCCATTGACAAATGACTTGATGAGGATGCCTTATAAGGTCTCACAATGGTCTCCCTCCAGAGCAGATGATGTAAGGTGATTTCAGATTTAGACACCTAAAAAAAAGAGAGAACATTGGTTTCCATAAGAATGCCGTCTCTGTTGATCATTATGGCTAACACATACAAATGTGCTGCTGTAACAATTGCTCTTAGTTCTCTGCCTAGATGTCATTTGTCCATTTGTCTACTGGTGGATGCATCACTCAGTAGCAGAAAGGAACACATGCACAGCAGCAGCATCCTCTAGAGGATGACCTATGGCCAACAGAAGGCCTTGCCAACAAGTTTCTAACCGATTGTAAGAACCTGATCACCACTCCTTTTTGGGATGGGTCTGTGATGCCATTCTTATTCTCTCTCTCTCTCTCTCTCTCTCTCTCTCTCTCTCTCTCTCTCCTCCTATGGAATCAGGCCCAGACTGCACTGGAGCTGAAGCCACATCTTTGCTTGGCAACTTTGGGCTGTTTTGTCTGCTTTCGTTACCTCACTGCAGGTTTTGTCTTCGATAACACCCGCATGCATAACCATCTCCTTTTCAGACCCTTCTTCTGGAGAGCCCAATTTTCCACACCCAGCTCATGAATGTCTACAGATCTCCACTCCTCCTCCTTCTCCTCCTCCTCTTCATCCTTCTCCTCCTCCTCCCCCTCCTCTTTATCCTTCTCCTCCTCCTCCTTTTCTCCTCTCCATCCTTCTCCTTCTTTCTCCTCCTTGCTTTCTTTGTCCTCTTCCTCGTTATTATTCTTTGTCTTTTTGACAAGTACAAAGCTAATATAACACATATTCAGTTCTTTCTGAGAGGCATTTATTAAGCAAAACAAACTTCTAATTTTGGTCACGGTACTTTAGTTATTTTTTTAAAAAATGAGAATAGTGAAAGTACCACAATGGAAAATATTCATTCTTAATGTGCCCCTCATTAACTTTTTTAGTTTTTCTTAGTTGTATGGATTTAAGGAATGATAACTAGTATGGAGAAGCTTGAAATAATGTGGTACGTACATAACTAATTCAAACTTGTTTGCAGATTAAGTTCTTGATATTAGGATTTTAGCAGTAGACAGTATTGCTAAAGATAACTCCCCTTAATGTCTACAGAGAAAGTGGCCCATAGTTGTCACACATTTTCATTTATTTAATAAGCATTTCTTAACATTTTGGGGTTTTGTTTTTGTTTTTGTTTTGTTTTGCTTTGTTGAGATGGGATTTCTTTGTGTATCCCTGGTTGTCCTGGAACTCTCTCTGTAAACCAGGCTGGCCTCAGACCCACAGAGATCCACCTGCCTCTGCCTCCCGAGTGCTGGGATTAAAGGTGTGTGCCATCACTGCCCAGTTTTTAACTTTCTTTTTGCTCAACAATATGTATGCATCATTAGACACTAAATGTATAATCATCAGTAAGATATATTTAATCTCTGCCTTCTAGAGGCCTGCTATCCTTCCCACTTAGAACTTTGACTTAGGAAAACATAGATAAGAAGAAAGGAAACTGTAAATTTGCACTATTGTATTGCATCTGAAGTTAATTTTTACTGCTTCTCTGGGTTCGTGAAAAGGCACCAAAAATGTTATGGAAGGTCTTCCCAGACACACATGCCCATATTAGGGACTCAAATAAACATTTTTCAAGTGAACTCACACAACCAATTTAATGCTTTGTTTTTTCCATACCTTTTTCTTATGTAGCAATGTAAGACAGCAAGAAAGGCACTAATTAACAATCCAACACCAATCCCGATTGCAATGTACTTTTCATAAGAATCCACAGCATATGAAGTCAAGGTCAAATGCTCACACCTTTCTCCTGTGTAACCAGTGAAGCATCTTTAAAGAGAGAAAAGAATATACAACCTTAAATCCTACAATGACAGAAGTACAAACAGGTGATGCATTTCAAAGAATGAGAAAAGGGAGAAATTTGCAGAGGCTCATGAGAGCCAGTCCATTAATGAAACAGTCTGTGCTTTACCACAGTCATTTCAGTAAGGCTCCACACACTCCCTCATTGCTAGGAAGAAAAGGTAAACTGCTTGTCAAGAAGTTGCCAAAAAAATGAGATCGTGGCAGCTCCGGGACTTCATCTTCCCGAATAGATTTTCTTTTTGTGGGAGTCTGTCTCATCCTGCAAAGCTATGAAAGTTCAGAGTCACCTTTGCATGTTGTTAGAAATGCAGATACTGATTTGACAGTTATAGAACATCAAAGTCAGCATTCCTAGCAAGCTCCAGGTTCCACACATGCTATAGTCTGGAAACTATAGTTTTTAAGTAATGTGGATAAGTAGTTTAGAAAGCAAGACTTTTTCATATTCAAATATGAAGAAGACTGGCCAGTCACATTCAGATCAAGCATATTTCCCCCATTCTCTTGACATTTCATCATCCTCATCTTTTTCATTTTTTTTGAGATTATAATATACTTACATCCCCCATCCCTCTCCTTCCTCTAAGCACTTCCATGTTCTTAAGAGGAGCAGGAGGTTTGCTGTGAGACTGGGTCTCCTAGAAATGGCAGAAGCAACACCCACGAAGTCTCACCAATATGGCTGCTTAAAGATGAGCAGAACAATGACAACGTCAATAGGCAAGTTAGCGTGGACTAAGGTTGAGATAGGGACTCAGGATGTCTCACCCTACACAAAGAGCTTAGGTAACCAAGGAATGCTGAGAGCAGGAGAAACAGTCTTCATTAGGAAAGAGCACAGCAATTGGCTACCAAGCAGTTTTTACCGGACAAAACAGAGCAATTGGAACTGTGCTGTGTGTATCGCTTTCTTCTGTCTCTAAGACTTGCTAAGTTCTTGGCAGTTACCTGCAAATGGCTTTCTTCAGTTCATGGTGGAATGCGCACACTCCATTAATACAGTAGCTATGATGGTCTTCCAGACAAGGGTGGGGGAACTTCAAAGCTACAGGTCCTTCTATGAAGTCCGCTAGGAAAAGGAGATACATTATTAACAGTTAAGTATGCCCTACTTTTACAATACACGCTCAATGCATGTGTAAAGACCTTTGATTTTAAGAATATTTTTAAGCTCTTTGTCCTTTGAAACATTGATTTTCTTTTGGTGGAGGGATTCTATCTAAAAGGTTGGGTTCATGTCTCTACATACATTGTTAATTAATTACAGGGTGGAGATGGATTGATGATTGCCCCATTCTTTAGACACTACATAACAAAGCATAGAGGTGAGTTGGTCGAAAGGTGGCAGCATCGGTCCTACCTTAGCAGGTAATTCTGAACAATGTTTTCCAGACATGTACCTAATGCTCATTAATTAGAAAGAAGGCCTCATATCACTTTGCATTTCCCCTGCATGGGTAGGGCGGCACCTAGGGAGACCTTGATGTAGTTTTGCTCTGTAATAAAATAGATGTTTATTTCCTCTCTAGAGGAAGAGGGGACATTTTCACTGACTGACCAGAACAGGGCTGTTATGACTGAAATAAGAATCCAGAACCAATGTGGGGCTCAGGTGGACGCAGCCGATGGCAATGCCACCACATACTAAGTGACAGTTCTACTGTGTTGTGAAGCAGTAGCCAAGCCACAGAGTGGGATCTGAGGCAGTTTTTTAATTCTTTTGTTCTAATACTGCAAAAAATGACCACAGTGTATAGTCTAGTGATCCAAAACCTCCTTATGGGACACCCATGTCAGGAAAGGGTGCTCTGGAAAGTCATCTGATCTCCAGCATGCCAGATGTAACACGTATTGGTGCCATCCTTGGTGCTTACACATTGGGAAAGACTCTTAGGGAAAACTGCATAATTGAATCCTTGCCATTTTTAAACCTTTCTTAAGCAGAATTAATGGCATGTTATGTTGTATTGAGTGAATAAGTATACCTCTTCACTATTAGTAATCACTCATGTGACACCATATGTGCATTCCTACAGAGACCAAGGGCATCCTACTTAGGTGTCTTTAGGGGAAAAAAAATTTAAAACATTCCTTTTCATGTGAAAAATACTAAATGTCTATATATCAGGATACCAACAAGACACCATATCACTTTGCTTTAAAAACACATACCAGAACTTAAAATTGGCATCTAATTTGCTGACTGTGGGATCTTTAACATAATTTATCCCTTTAGGAATTGATTTGGAGACACTGAGAATTTCTCATTCAAGCTGTGCTAAATTCCTCTTAATCCAAGACTAACCAAGTTTACTTAACCAAATCTAAAGGAGAGCTTTTCTAGAAAGTATGGGAATTTGAAAGAAACCATTTCCAAAGAAAGGGCACTCCAGACAGACTCATTCTTTTTCCCTTGTGGAGAAGAATATTAATTACAATTTCTTTAAAACATTTATAAGATATGATTCATATTTTTCCCATCACAGGCAATTTATTTTGTTCTATTCATTCACAGTTAATACAGAAAATACTTGGAAACATTTCCATATAATGTTTGACACAGAAATCATCAAATAGAAGTATACAATGTTGACAGGAGTCAGTACATTTATAATTTATAACCCCAAATGTATTTATAAATTAGAAATGGAAAGATCTACAAATGAAATTATGAAGGTTCACCAAAGTCATTTAATCTGTCAGTTTCTCATTCATTTTTATCGCTTTCACAGTTCTGCATGTATCCCATCGGCTCCCCATTAGTCACTGAACTCTTAAAACTGGTATTGTAACATTATCACAATGTTTTGCGCCAATTTTTTAAACTTTACAGTGCAATATGTGTTCCTTTTCTGAGGCAAACCAAAGGTATATTTCTCAAGGTTCTGCTGCTATCAGCAGTGTTGATGGAGGATTTTTTATACATTTGTAATAGATAGAAATAAACCAGAAAAAAAGAAGAAAAAAAAGTGGTGGAGGAAAAGGTGAACACTGCAAGAATACTCAAAAGGGCTGAGAGTTACAAACACCGAGAATGGCTTTGCATAGTAAATGGAATAGAACAGCTCTGAACTATAGCTTACTTTTCCTGGTTTGGTCTGACAGAATGATTGAATGCTTTTGTACAAAAATCAAAGCCTTAAAAACAAGGATTTGGTGAGATTGTAAAATGGTGTGCCACTTTGGCAAAACAGTTTGGTGGTTGATCAAAATGCAAAACACTGTTACTCTGTTACTCAACAATTCTACCTTTAGGAATATATCCTCAAACTACTGAAAATGTGCACCTATGAAACAGGTACATGAAGGTTTACATCAGTGTGCTGCTAATAGTAAAAAAGTTAAAACAACTCAAATAGCTATCAAATACTGGAGAGAAATAAAATGTGGCTTATTCATACAATAGAATATTATTAAGACATGATTCATATTTTTAAGTTAAAAGTAAAAAAAAGAGGGGCTATCGCATAGTTATAGAATGCTATTGCACAGTTATAGAATGCTTGCTTAGCATGCACATGGCCCTGAGGTCCATGACAGCATGGCAGCAAAATAAGGGGAAAATACAAAATTTTTCCACGAAGAATGCAAAGAAAAAAAAATAGCATAGCTGCTCCTTTCTGTCCTCACTTCTGCTGTTATCTCAGTCAAAGATTCCATTTGCAGTTCATTCAGCATCATGAGAGAGAAAAGGGTGGGATGGGGGTGCTGGACACATGACTATGCCATCCACCGCTAAGATGAAACCATGTCTTTAAATTTTCTACACATTCAGTTTCACAAATTGATGTTCAAAAACCAAATGGACAACTTGGGTGTTTAAAAATCATTGGAGAAATGAGGAACAGTTGGATGTTGCTATCTTTAATATTTAGGAATGAACTATTTGGCCTCATCTTTTATTGGCAAGACAAGGAGTGTTTTATGCCCTGATCACAAACCATAGTCTTTACATGAGGAGAATACTATGAGATTTGTGAGGGAGTCAAAGCCATTCAAACACAGGTCTTGACAGGCAAGGAGCTTTCTGAGTTCATCTGTAGTGCAGATAGGTTTGCAAGCTGTGCCACAGTGCTGTGCTCAGCAGCAGCCAGAAGCGTCTATGCTAGGCACAGTCAGACAGAAAGAAAATACATGACCACCACCAATGACGGAAACTGGGTGGAAGAGGTTAGGGAATGCAGCATATGCTCACAGGACATTAAGCAACCAGAAAAGACCTTTGCAGAGATGGGGGGAAAGCACTGCCTCTCTTTCTGTGGCTGTCCTTTCTGTGGCTGCTAAGCTTACTGTCGGAGACCGAAATACAGCCACTCTCCTCATATGGAATCACACTGGATACCCTGGGTCACTGGGAGTCAAGCAGAATCCAAGCAGAACCTGTGGCATGTCTCACATTTAGGAAAGCAGCTGAAGACAGGCAGCTTTGCTCATCCTTGTTTCACTTCCTCCTTTAAAAAAAAAAAAAAGCAACCCCTTGCTGGCACATCTATCTTCCTGTCACCTCAACTTAGCATCATCTTTCCGAAATCGCTGATTATCTAGTAAAATGTTGGCTGAAATTTTCCCGGGGTTCTCCCTATCACAGTGCAACTTTCTGTCAAAGGTTTCAAGGAAGGCACTTGAAATAGAGTGGCAAGGAGATACCTTCCGTGTTGTTGACCGTCCAGTTGCTCTGCTGCGCTGTGCTAGGAGGCGTCACATGCGCTTCTGCTTCCTCGGTCAGCGCGGCCGCCATTGCTGTGGTAGAGGGAAAAGCATCTTATTTCGCAGGCAGGTCTCCTTCGTGCACTAACAACCGATCCAAAAGGTTCTTAGTCTGGGGATTCCCATTTTCTGTTCTGGTTCTAATCCATTAGGTTCGATGGAATCCAGAACCGGACTAGGGCAATTCCAGACTACGTTTTAGCTGCCCCATTGACAGCATTACAATGACGTAACTCTGAAATGGATTCATTCTTAGGAGAAAGTTCATGTATTTACATGCTAAGACAATCACCACACACAGCTTCCTGTAGGGCGGTAGCTATTATCAAGTGCACTTCAATTGCTTAAAGCAATTATTTCAGCCTTCTTAAAAAAGAAAAATCAAGATCGGGGGAAAAAAAAAAAGCATATATTCCATAAAGACCCGATTAATCCACACAATCCTTGCTCTGATCCTTGTCAGGGGCGACCTCAAATTCAAAGAACTAAATCTTTACATTTACAGCATAGAAATGACCTACCTTTGAACAGGAGGCAGACTGCCATTGGAATCCCCAGAGCCATATCCTGTAGCTGCTGAACTTCTTTCCCTGGTCCTCCTAGACTGAAGGGTGGAGGGTTTTTATTGCTCTCTCTGAGTCTTTCTTCCATTTATATTTCATGAAGCGTCATTTGGCAGTTCTTACCAATCCAAAAACTATGTGCTCCTGGCAGCAGCTTAAAGCCTGCAGGCACTCACTCGCACACTTGTTTAGGATACCTGCGTTATCTAGCGATGTGATCAAATTTCCTCTTGAAACACTGGTTTCCTGTCACCTGTGGGCATAATCGCACATGTAAAAGTTCTTAAAACGACAAAAATGAATGCAAATGCAGAAAAGTCACTGCTGCTGTGATGAAGTATGACTTTCCTAGTAGGCTACAAAGGACCACAGCCAAGATATCTGCAAACCAGTAGACAGAGTAACCTGTTAGGATCTGTAAAAGTTCCCGATTTGACAGTTGGTTCCATTCCCTTTCATTATGACTGCTGAGGGGAAAAAGTACTAAGCATATTATAAAAATATTTTGTTAATATGGTTATAAAGAAGAACCGAATTTGTGTAAAAAGAATGTGTAGTATTCCATTTTCATTTTTGTCACTTAGCTGTGTTCATGATAATTTTTAAGTAAAATTACTTCTAATACTATAACATTAACCTTTATGTCATTCTGGCATTTAATGCTTTATGAAGAAATGGAATGGACCACCAAGTTCCAGGAACAAGAGTGCTTAAATCTGGCCTCATGATAGAATGCCCAGAATCAATGTCCTAATAACATTGAAATTACATATGGCACAATAGTCATAAACCCTTCATTGAGGTATACCTAGTGAATAATTAGTTTTGATTTCATATTGCACTCAAGGTTTTCTCACTGTTGACCCAGTAATGATTAAAATGAGATTATAAAAGCCCAAATATGTAATTTTCCTGTGTATTTTTGTATAAACTGTAGGAGCTACTTGTAAATTTTCACCTGCCCCAAATTACTTTGAATATTTATGAATATGGTTTCCTGGAGTGGTGTGTCTTTCTACTTGGAATTTCACTTGCTTATATTTCCTGAACTTTGAAAACTTGTCCAAGGTTGATTATCGTATGAATCATGTCCACCAAGCAAATTATATTTATCAGAAAGAATCCCTTTCTGTAGTCAAATCAGAATTTGGCTTTAGAAATTACACAAGCACGAGCTTGTTGTACTCATTCATTACAGCTTGGGCAATCATTTACCGTAAGAGTCATCACTTTAAAAAGCTAAAAGAATATGTACCACTTGGCTTACTTTAAATATGTCTACACACTGTAGCTCTAGTTTTAGGCACCTTATGGGGAATTTAAGACATAGTTTACTAAGGATTAAAATAGTATCATAAGTCTTTCAAAGTTTCTGGAAAGAAATGTTAGGATCCCCCCCCCGTGTGTGTGTGTGTGTGTGTGTGTGTGTGTGTGTGTGTGTGTGTGTGTGTGTGTGTTTGTGTGTGTGTGTGTGTGTGAGAGAGAGAGAGAGAGAGAGAGAAAGATGATCAAATCCAGAACTTCATCACATATTTTAAGCAAGTTCTCAAATATCTTTATTCTTAAGACTGAGCCATAGATGCACAATGGTTATCTTTGTAATAACAATTAACTGGGGGCACTGGGGAGATGGCTCAGTTGGAAAAGCACTTGCCATGCAATTGTGAGGATCTGAGTGTGGATGCCCAGCACCCATGTAATAACCAGGGGTGATAGAACACATCTGAAATCTTAGTGCTCAGGAGGAAAGAAGCAGGTTCTTGGGGCTTGCTGCAAGTCAACTTCAATATATAAACTCCAGGGTCAGTGAGATACCATGTTGGTGTCAGTTAGATTTTGTGAACTTGACACAAACTTAGACATATCTGAGAAGAGAGAATCTCAGTTCAGAATTGCCTCCATCAGACTGTCCTGTGGACATGTCTGTGGGGCATTTTCTCCATTCATGATGGACATGGGAGGACTCTGCTTATTGTGGATGGTGCCACACCTGGGAAGGTGGTCCTGGATTGTATAAAAAAGCAAGCTGAGTAAGCCACTGGGAGCAAACCAGTAACCAGTATTCTTCCACAGCATGTTTTAGTTCCTGCCTCAAGTTTCTACCCTGATTTCCCTCAGTGATGAACTATGACCTATGACATGTAAACAAGTAAACTCTTTCCTGCCCAGATTGCCTTTCATCATGGTGTTTATCACAGCAAAATAAGCCTAACTAGACTTTAAAAAAACCTCCAATAACAAAGATGAATGAAGGTTAAAGGGATTGAGGGTGTAATTACACACAAGTGAGGACTTGGATTCAATCCCTGGTACACAAGAAAAAGAAGTGAGTAGAGAAAAGAGGGAAGGAAGAAGAGGAAAAAGACTCAAGTCACATGCCAAAGAACATGCGTCAAGTAGGACTTCAATCTCATTTTCAAATCCCTCCTCAGAAGGCCTTCTGCTCTTACAGCTGTGTCCTCTGGCACACTCAGAAGCTCTTCCTGCTCTTACAGCTGTGTCCTCTGGCACACTGAGCTGTGTCCTCTGGCACACTCAGAAGCCCTTCCTGCTCATGCAGCTGTGTCCTCTGGCACACACAGAAGCCCTTCCTGTTCATACAGATGTGTCCTCTGGCACACTGAGCTGTGTCCTCTGGCACACTCAGCTTTTCCTATACTTGCAGCTGTGTCCTGTGGCACACTCAGAAGCTCTTCCTGCTCTTCCAGATGTGTCCTCTGACACACTCAGAAGCTCTTCCTGGTCTTCCAGCTGTGTCCTCTGGCACACTCAGCTGTGTCCTCTGGCACACTCAGCTGTGTCCTCTGGTGTAGTAAGACAGGCCCATAGGGTCAAGAAAATTGGCTCAAACCTGTTGCCAAGGCATCAACATAACGTACTTCCTTATGAGTCAATGAACAACAACCACGCAATGCCACTGGATTGGGATACAGCTTAGGTGCTGGGAGGAGGGTATATAAAGCCTTCCCTGTTATTTGCTGTCTGCCTTCAACTGACTCCTGATGTCTCTGTCATTGACACCGCACCTTCTCACCTGCTCCCCAGAGGGAGCCATTAGGATCCAGCAACATCTGGTGCCCAACATGGGACTCGAACCCAGGACCCTGAGATTAAGAGTCTCATGCTCTACCAACTGAGCTAGCCAGACAAACAAACATGACAGACAACACAAAAGATGGAAAGAAATAGGGGTCCCAACGCTTACCTGCTGAAGGGACCGAAAGAACACAACACTGAGGGACCTTCTCACTGAATCACACCCTCTTGGGGGCGCTGTCAAGCACCATGAGTGAAGGGAGGGAGATGGTCAGAATCTGCATGAGAAAGAGAAAGTAATAGAAGCTCCACGTTCAGTTTAAACCTAGTCCCTCATCAGTGGTGTGGGAGGCCAACACGATTCTAAGATGACCACCCATCTGGTTCATTGGAAGGATCTTGATGGCAATTGGGGATCCATTCACCCTATCATTTCCACTGTACCTAGGAACCTGTGGGGCAGGAATATTTTGGAGGATATGGGTGTTGTCATAACTACAGATGACAGGACCCATTTTGATGACAATGAGGCCCATGAAAAAGCCGATCTCGCAGTCTGCAGCCCTGCGCAAGATCTGTTCCCCCGATTCTAAGGGCCATTGTCCCCACAAGATCCACTGAGATTGAACCCCCTAGCCCCATTCCATTGATGTGGCTCTCAGATCAAGAAGTATGGGTGGAACAGTGGCCTGTAATTGAACCCAAGCTGTCAATCCTAAAGGACTTAGTTGCAGAACAGCTAAAGATGGGGCCCATAGAACCATCCACAAGTAAACATGACACCCCCATATTTGTTATCCCCAAGAAATCGGGATGCTACCCCTTCCTGCAGTATCTTCATGTAGTTAATGGTCTAATGAAAAAAAAATGAGGTTTACATAGCCAGGCCTCCCCTACCATAGCTATTTCTCCATCTTATTATATATCAGTTTTAGATATTAAGGATTGCTTTTTTTTCAAATTCTTCTGGTGCCACAGGACTGAGATAATTTTACCTTTAGTATTCGGGAATCTAATATGCATAAACCAGCTAAGAGATATCAGTGGACTGTTTTGTCCCAAGGAATGAAGAATAGCCCCAACTATTTGCCAGTTATATGTTTCTCAAGCTTTGGTCAGATACAGCCCCATGCAGTCCCGTCTTCCACTCCCATCCCTCATGCCACCTTGGTCTTTTCAGATTCCAATAAAAACAGATATGGTGTTCTTATCCAGTGTCCTGGCTCCAAAGATGTATGTTATCCCTAACCCTGGTTCTGTTCAATTGGGTGAGCTATTGGTCCTCCTCAAGGTTCTAATGGTGTGCCAGACTGAGCCCATTAATATTTTTGCTGATAGACAATACACTGAACAGGCAGTTCATGTGCTGGCCTTTTCTTGAGTCAAAGACTATTAACTGACCCCTATCACCAGCACCATGTTGCTCATACAAGATATTCTAAATCAGAGGACTGAGCATTGGTACCTGTCACATATAATATCTCATTCCAAATTACCTAGAATATTGGCTTGAGGAAATGAGGTCACAGACACCATCATATTAATAGCCAGTATGGATCTCCTAAAGCAAGCCAGGATTCTTCACCAGCAGTTCCATCTGTTTCCACAGAATTTGCACAGACTTATTCCAGAATTACTGGCTTCTCAGTGTAAACATTTGTCCTGGGCATGTGCCACTTGTGCTCCTCTTGCTCGCTTAGGACCACTTCAATATGCAGGGGTTAATCCAGGGCTTATTGCCTAATGCATCCAGTAGATGGATGTTACACATCATGCTCCCTTTGGCAATCTTAAATTTGTTCATGTGATAATAGATACTTGTTCCTCCTTTGTTTCTGCCCTCGCCCTTTCTGGGAAGAAGGCCATCAATGCTATCAAAGCCCTAAAGTCAGCCATGGTAGTTATAAGGGTATCGTGGGCACTTAAGACTGACAATGGCCCTGCCTATTCCTCTCAACAATTCAATGACTTTCTGGGGTCCTAGAAGATTTCCCATACCACTGGCATCCCCTAAAATCTGCAGAGACAAACCATTGTGGAGAGGACCAACAGAGCTCTTAAGGAGCTGTTGACAAGGACTATCTCCCCAAAGGCTAGAAGAGTTATTCGTCTGACCTTAACAGAGGTTCTTTTTCATATGAACTTTCTCAGTTTTGATGACAAGGGGCTCAGCCAGGCCTGCAAGCACTGGATGTCTCTGCCAAAGAACACATCCCTGCCCCTGGTCAGATCGAGAGATCCTATCTCCCTCCAATGGCAGCAACCAGCCCCCCACCCCCTGCTAATCAGTGGGAGAGGGTATGCTTGTGTTTTTCCTCAGAGTGCCACTACTCCAATATGGGTACCAGCTAGAGATGTGTGCCTGGCCACAGATTAGCCTGCTTCTACCAAGGAGGATATAACCCAGGATGGGTAATGTATATACTCCCCTTTCTTGTTCTCATTGCCCCTCTAAAGGCTGGAGGCTTGTGGATCCTAGCTTTTCCTCACTTCATATGACACCTATTGAGATAAGAAACATTAGTTTAACAGGCCAGAAACTAGCAAATATAAATAAACTTAGCCCATGATTAGCTAAGTTTCTATATTATTTATTACTGCTAACACATGAAAATTTCCAATTAAATCAGACAAGGGCAGAGGTTATGGCCTTTGACTCTTTACTTTTGAGGTTCGGCATGATATAAAAAGGCTGTTTGATCCCTCCTGGATTTTCACTTATGTTTTGATTGGTGGGGTGGTGCTTTTAATCTTTCTCCTTTTTAAGTGTCTCCTACAGCACATCCAGCAACAATAGGCAGCCATTAAGGTGACTCTACTGATGTTAATGTCTCTTAGACATCCAACTCATAGCCCTCCACAGGAGGTTATGCATGCCTGGCTTTCTGAAATTCAAAATGCTACTGCCTGACCCTAACCACCCAGGGTGACTCCCCAGGGATGGACACTCTTTGAGGGCTGATAGTCAATGACAGGTAAGAGCTTGTTTGGCAAGTCAACCTAAGACAGGCACAGTTCAGTTGCTGAGTCCCCTACCCCCATGCCATCCCGAGCGGGGGTCAACAAGACTAGAGCAAAGAACTCTGACTCCTGCTGAGCACCCATACAATAAAATTAAAAGGGTGTATATGTAGTAGGACAGGCCCATAAGGTTGAGGAAATGGGTTCAAACCAGTTGCCAAGGCATACACATAACATACTTCTTCATGAGCCAACGTGTAGTGTGCCTGAGGGCCTAGCAACAAGTGCTGTCAGGGTTCCTGATTGCTGTGAGAGTTCCTGATCATGCCTAGCCAATGAGGGATGACCACAAAATGCCACCAGATTGGGACACAGCTGGGAGGAGGTTATATAAAGCCTTCCCCATTATTGAATAAATGAGTTTGCTGTTTACCTTCAACTGACTCCTGGTGTCTGTGTTGTTGACTTCGTGCCTTCTCACTCCATACCCCAAGGGAGATGTTCCTGCTCTTATATCTGTATCCTCTGGCACAAGTGGCTGTACTGATCACAGAGTAAGTCCCTTAACTCCAAAAGTCAAAATTTAAATACAATGTGCTTTTATTATAAGAAACTTAATATTAAAGAACCAAAGTTCTCACTCATATCAGTGTAGTATGGATTTTTGTTGGGCCACCAGCTCACAAAAATGACACAGAGACTTACTATTGTGAAAGCTTGGCCTTAGCTTAGGCTCATCCCACTAGCTCTTATAACTTAAATTAAGCCATGTTTTTAAATCTACAATCTTTTACTTGGCTCAGTTACCTTTACTCTGTACTGCCCATCCTGCTTCCTCAACTTCTGGCTGGTGACTCTACCTTTCTTCCCAGAACTCTCTCTGTCCAGAAGTTCTTCCTACACCTCCTGCCTAGCCATTGGTCATTCAGCTGTTTATTTTTTTCTTTTTCTTTTTTTTTGGTTTTTCGAGACAGGGTTTCTCTGTGTAGCTTTGTGCCTTTCCTGGAACTCACTTGGTAGCCCAGGCTGGCCAAGAACTCACAGATATCCACCTGGCTCTGCCTCCCGAGTGCTAGGATTAAAGGCATGCACCACCACCACCCGGCTCAGCTGTTTATTAAACAACTTCACACAGTGTAAAGTAATATTCCACAACATACCAGAGATTAGAGATGGGTGACTAACTCCCAGAAGAATTCCCACTGTAGACTAGACCACATTGAGACACCCCTCCATTATCAAGGCTTCCACTTTACAGTAGGCAACAGCTCTAAATCAGTTCACCTGCTGCTTTTCCTCTGGAGTCTGTACTGATGGATCCTATACCACTTTCCATATGAAAGTAACTTCAATCCTCTCACCAAAAAGTCTTTTCCCCCGCAACTTTAAAGGATACAGAGATGCCTATTGCAAGATGGACTCACTGGCATCTCCATTTATTGCCAATACACACTAAAGTGAATTAGAGTTAAGAAAGAGAAGGGGCATTCCACTGTCACTTTATTCTCATGCCGCACTTCTTTTTAAAGCATTTACCTCTCTCCTCTAGTCACAAGTACCTCTAGAAGTTTATTCTTCCATTTCTTTCTATTTTGTCAGTTTTGTTTCTTTTCGTTTTGTTGGTCTTTCACTCAGTGAGAACTTATAGCTAATTGTCAGCAGGAAATACTTATGATTGTTGTTTGTCCCTCTATGTTTGTTCTGTAATTCTTTCAGATTTCATTGGCATTTCTCTATTCACTCATAAACTACCAGATGTCTACTGCAATCATGGCATTGGGCTATGCAGAATGCTGCTGGTAGAAGCAAATGTATAGACAGTGCATGTTTTCTGGCCTTCAATAACTAACGTCAGCCAGGGAACATACACGTGCAACCTGGTAAGAAGTGGCAGCTGCCATAGTTATTAGCACAAAGGGCTATGGCAGTTGAGAAGTGGAACTCAGATTTTCATGACAAAATTTCATTTGGAATGAATCGTAATAAGTAGGGTTTTTATAGGTAATGATGTGATCTCTGCCCTTGGCTGAGCACTTTAGTAACTAGGAGGATCACTTCCCTCACCTACCACAGAGATGGTTAGGAAAGAGAAAAGACAAAAGATTAAGAGGACATCTTCAGCGCTCGATAGTTACTCAGTTAACAAACTTCTGCAAGCACTGAATGGGGTAAAAGGATACAAGATGGATAGTGGCCTCCAATTCTAGGAATTTAGTTTCCAGTATGTGCTGCTGAATTCCATATTTTCACCATCAGGCATGAACATCCATCCCCTTCCAGGATTTATATTACTTCATGACTGTTGCTTACGTAATTATGTTATTGCCTCACACTCAACATGTCTTAAATTGAACTTATTATCTCTTCTCCCAAGTCAACTCCCTTTATAACTTCCTTATGCTAATCGATGATGATGTCATCCAGCTCAGCCTGCAATCCTCTTCACTTGATAAATATCGCCTTCACTCTTGCTTCTTGTGGTTTCTTCTGACTTCCACCACTCCCCACCATACTCTTTTCACTTCATCTGAATTTTTAAATTCCGTTTAATGTTTCCTTGTGTTACAGTACTACTCCCATCAATCCTTTAAGCTTCTCTGCAGACAGTATAGGGGAGGATAGTATATCTTCACACTCCTCCTCAAGGGCATCACATATCTACAGTTACAGACTCCAAATATTCCTGAATGGAATCAAACCATTCAGCCAACTTTGTCTCTTATGTGTGAGAAAAGACTCCTGCCTTCACTACACACTTGCGTATACTCATCTGAGCCTGCTTGCTGACAAAACTTATACCTCAGCCAACTGAGCTCAGTTTTAGCAGAAAATCTTGCTAATTCAGCTCATGGCAGCCCCATCCCACATCCTTGTGGATATCTGTGATGCAGTTCCTTTTTCCCATGCGTTGATGTCAAAGTCTCTGGCCTGCTGTTACCAACAACATTAAAAGTCAGGTCAGCAAGAACGTTCCTCTTCTTGATATCTGAATATATTCCTCTTAGTAATTCCTCACTCATTGATGCATTGATTTCCCCATCTTGGTGGCTTGGCTATGAGTCACCATGTGTCTTTGCTCCATGTAGAGACAGAGACACTGTCTCCTTGACCCTGTGGATTCCACTGTATTTGTTTTGATGAAAGTCTTCCTTTTTAATGTAAACAAGCATCCAAAAATTTCTTTTTGGTTAGTCTGTGGAAGATTGACCCCTAAATAAATAATGTACTGAAATAATCCTTTTCATTTCACTGGGCAGAGGAACATTCATAACTACAGTCCTTGTATTTTTAATATTCATGCATCTCTGGGCATTTTAGTTTGGAACCCAGGCTCCATTAAAATTTATTTAAACCATACCCTTTCTAAAATGTTTGCCTACAAACTGAATTTATAGGTTTGTCAGGAATACTTGACCACCTGGTCTAAACTCACTGTAGAACACATTCTACTGTCTTTTTTTTTTTTTTTCATGTTTGGGAAATCTAAAACCAGAATGTAATAAACAGCTAACAGGAACGGTAAGACCTCTCAGGAGGTAGAAGTGCTTGCTGTCAAGCCTGATCTGTCTCTCTCTCATACCCCCTAACACACACACACACACACACACACACACACACACACACACACACACCAAAATATTTAAAGCTATCTTAATAAAAGAATATAGCTATAATTCTTCTTCAAATTGCTTTTATTGGACAATTGAAATATTATTATAAACCGCTAGTCTATTTTCACAAAAAGGATCAAGAGGCACACCAATAAAAACCATGCAATGAACAAGGACCATTATTAGTACATAAATATACTGGGATCTGGGTATGAAACCTTAGTACCAATTATATGGATCTAGTCATTCAATAGCCTTTAATTAACAGTCACACAGATTTCCCAATTTGAATTGAATTAGAAACATAGCATCTGTGTTAGTAACCAAACACTATCCTAGAAAAGAGAAGAAATGTGTGCATAAAGACTAGCTTTTAGTTATATCTCAAGGATCAATTTTAACAAAATGAAAAAGCATTATATTTCTATCAGATTTCTGCTCCTGTGAATAAATATATCACAGTTCTTTAATGACAGATTCATACATGCAGCATCAGCATTGTATTTGGTTGATATTTGTGGGGAAATTACTTTCGTTTGACTTTGTACACTCATTTGTTATGAGATTTTTCTGTTATCATCAGTGAAGTGAAATGAACAATATGGAAACCACATAGTCTTATACTGCACCAGTGAAATAGATAATGTGGGAGCCTAACACCCATGCCCTTCTACTACACCAAGTAATCATTTTTCAGGTTTCCAAGTAGCATAACAGTTTTTGCCTAAATAGTTTTTATTTATTAAATAAACATCAGTTTTTCCATAGGATTGCCTTATGATATGCCAGGAGATAACTGAAATTAAGACTTCATTTTCAACATTCTATCTTCCTCTTAACAAATGAGCTCTTTTTCAACAGATAACCTAGAATATGAACTATATTAAAAAATCACAGTTATAACAAATTACAGTTTACATGGCACCCATTTGGTTGGCAAAACAGTTATTGAAAACATACTGTATGTGATATTTAGGTTATGTCAAAAATATATTTACTAAATATGAATTCTTCATTTGTTTTAACATTATGAACAAATATCCATAAAATAAAGAACTGTTACCAAAATTATCATTGTAATTGTTTTGTTTTTTCTAAAAACTCAAAATCTATTAGCAAGAAATCCATAGAATTGTGTAAATAATCAGTTCTACAATGATTCTACTGATGAAAAAATAAATACAATGTAGAAATAAATAGCTTTGTAGTAAAATAGAAAGAATTTTGCCTGTTGTCAAATAAATAAGCAGCACTATTCATTTTTTTGTATTCTCCTGTGTGACCTAGTAAATGATGCTCTTGGCAGCCAGAAGTGTGTTCTTCAGAAGCATGGCCACGGTCATGGGTCCCACACCTCCTGGCACTGGAGTGATATAGCTGGCTTTCTTCTTAACAGCTGAGGAGACAGAACATTTCTTAATTTTAAATGTATCTAATACCATCTTTTGAATACACTCTATATAGTCTATTTTCCCCATTATACCCATAATGTTATAAACCTCCAATCATTTATAAGATGAAATAGGCTACAATGAAAACAGAAAGACAGACAGACAGACAGACAGACACAGACACAGACACAGACACAGACACACACACAGACACACACACAGACACACACACACACACTTTATTCTATGATATCTGTGGTGGACACAAAGGGATAAGCTCAATTTCCATGCTTCAGCTTTATATGAACAAAAGCAATAAGCTGTTATCAATGTGATTACCTGTCATTCTTGTTACAACTTGTAGAAAAAAGCAGGCTTATAGAAAAGGAAGCTGAGTTAACATTACTCACACAACTACAGGCAGTCATGATGAGGCCCTGAAGTAGGAACACATTAACCTGACTTAGATTATGTGCCATGTGCCAGGAGTCACAGGGCAGGGAGGTCTTAAGCGTATTTCAAGATTGCTCTAAGACTGGTCATCAGGGGCTGCTGGGCTTGTTCATCATTATGGGAGAGTAAGAGTGAGAGAGAGAGAGAGAGAGAGAGAGAGAGAGAGAGAGAGAGAGAGAGAGAGAG